GGTGGGTGTGGGGGTGCAGGGCAGAAGGCTGGGTGTGGGGGGGCGACTCGAGGTCAGGGCAGAGGGCTGGTGGGTGTGGGGGTGCAGGGCAGAAGGCTGGGTGTGGGGGGGCGACTCGAGGTCAGGGCAGAGGGCTGGTGTGTGTGGGGGTGCAGGGCAGAAGGCTGGGTGTGGGGGGCAACTCGAGGTCAGGGCAGAGGGATGGGGTGTGTGGGGGTGCAGGGCACAAGGCTGGGTGTGGGGGGGTTCAGGGCAGAGGGCTGGGGGAGGTGTGGGGATGCAAGGCAGAAGGCTGGGGTGCTCGGCTCTTGGGGGTTCTCCCAGCCCCCTGCCCTGAGTGGCTCATGGCAGGGGGCTGGGAGGAATATGCCCTGTTCCACCCCATTCCCTAAGGCCCGTCCCTACCCCTCTCTGCCTGCTCTACGGAGCAGGGAGCACGCTGCGCTCGGCTCTGCTCCCCCTCCCCCTCGCAAGGGCCATCGCCGGGGGGGCGGGGGGGAGGAGGAGGGGCCGGAACGCACCAAGCTGTGGGAAGAAGCGGGGGAGGGGGAAGCTTTGCTGCTGCAAGGGAGAGCAGTGGGGCTGAGTGGGGTGGGTCGTTGGGACCCCCCACCACTCTCCCCTGCGGGGGCAGGAGGCAAAAGTTTGGTCCTGCGGCAGCCAAGCTTCCCCCCTCCCCCGCTTCTTCCCCCAGCGTGGCGCTTTCTGGCTCCTCCGCCCCTCCTCCTCCTCCTCTCACCAGGCAGGCAGTGTGCCACTCAAAATCAGCTCGCGTGCCGTGTTTGGCACACGTGCCGTTGGTTGCCCTCCCCTGGACTAGACGATCATAATGGTCCCTTCTGACCCTAAAGTCTATGACCTGCACCTTAAATCCCCAGCCCCAAACCAGAGCCCTCACCCCCACTGCACCCCAGCCCGGAGCCCCCTCCCACACCCTGAACCCCTCATTTCTGGCCCCACCCCGGAACCTGCACCCTCAGCCCAGAGCCCATACCTCCTTCCACACCCCAACCCCCTGCCTCATCCCAGAGGCCCCTCCCATATTCCGAACCCCTTGGCTCCCTCCCTCACCAGCCTGGATCCCCCTCCTGCACTCCAAACCCCTCATCTCCAGCCCCACCCCGGAGCTTGCATCCCCAGACGGAGCCCTCACCCCCTCCCACACCCCAACCCCCTGACCCAGCCCAGTGAAAATGGGCGAGTGAGTGAGGGTAGGGAGAGTGAGCGACCGAGGGATGGGGGATGGAGTGAGTGGGAGCAAAGCCTTGGAGGAGGGGTGGGGGAGGGCAAGGCTATTTGGTTTTGTGTGAGTAGAAAACTGGCAACCCGAACCCGCAAACGGGTTTTGTCACCTTTAGAAAAATGTACCAGGGTTAATGTAGATTGTTCCCCCTTAATCAAATGAAAAGCACCTTGTGTCCATGTACAAAAGTGCTTCAACCAGTGTTATGTAACAATTGGTGCTCACTCTGCCTGGAATTTTAGGGATAATACTTCAGTCAATTGGAGATCAATCCAGCATGTACATTGGCACAATTGTGCATTACTGACTGACAGCTTAGAGCTGACAGGCCCTTCAGCCAGTGAACCTCCTTAGTTTGACAGCTAAGAGTCCCCTTTCAAACCGCTACTTCCTCAGAGTCCCCTCCTCAGAAATGGTGCCGCACTCATGATTACTCCCTCCAAATGCTCAACTAATGGTTCCTGCATAGACACATTCTAAGCTAACTGTGAACTTCTGACACATTTCCCTCTGGGGTCCCCCTCCTAGCAATGGCCTTCTGTCAAATGTTCTCCTCTGCCCATGAACCACCCTATTAATCCTCATCCCTGAAATGCCCTGCCCCCACTTCTGTCATACCACTTGTCCTGGCTACCAGATGTCCCAAACTGAGCCAACTGTGGCTCACCAGCTGCTAGTACAGGTGCCAAATCATGACTTATAGCTGATGAACCAAATAATGCGGATGCTTGGATTCCATTGACAGCTGCCTCACCCCCCTCCATTGGGCCCCTCCAGGGCCAAAAGAAAGTGCCAATCATCCCTCATTAGGGCTCTGCTTTGTCAGAGCTGTTCAGATCCAACAGAGCAACATTATCTTTTGATGATGATGAATAATTTTTTGCAAAGGATTCAACAGTGTCACTTGAGAGTGTTCAGCACCAGATCCTGTAGGTATTTTGACCTGTATAGGGGGATTGGATACTTTAGGGGCAGTTGTTGGATGATGTGGCCAGGATGCATTTTAAAGGGTGGGGTGAGGAGGTTGGATCTTCTTTGAGATGACAGCCCATTCACTACACCTGCATCAGTTTAAGGCAGCCCTAGTGCGGATGCAGGGTAAAGCTTAGACTGTTTCAGAGTGGCTAGTGTGAACACACTCTTTCTTTGTGTTTCAGAAGTTGAAGCACAATGGATTGAGCATTTGTAATACTGAAAAGCTAATATTTAAGAAATTCAGTCAAAAAAATGACAAAACTAACCAAATAATAAATATTAACGTTCTATAAAGAAGTTATACAGACTAGCAGGACAGTTTCATTGTGCGGACATCTAGATGGACTGATCTACGAAGGTAGATATCCAACAGTATCTGTGTATACTAGAATATCTTAGAATGTCTTTTTTCATGTAAACTTTGTCCTTTTCTCAGACTGTTCTGATGTTTGTTCTTGCTGCAAAAATTGTAATTTTGAGTTTCATCTTACTTTCAGGTTGTCAGAATTACAAGACAATAAGAAAGTAGTGATGGAATCGTTGGATACGGGGTCTAAAGCAAAGAAAACTCTAGGAAACGTTGACTATGTAGAGTCATCAGAATTTTCCCAAGGAATTCTGCCTACAAATAAGGATGTCATTCAGAACATGTTGTATCTGTTGCAACCCAAAAGAGCTGGGCAAGCACAACGATCAAAAGAAGATGCAGCCCAATTGCTTGCTGAACTTCTGCAGGAACACTGGTTGTTTTGCAACTTACACACCATAGCAACAAAAAATATAAAGAAGAATATTCTCAAAATGTATGAGGAATTCACAAAACTCTATCAAACCAGAAAGCAGAGACAAAATCAGTCATTTACAGAGAAGGCCGACACATTCAACAGGAGTTCAGAACAGCTCTTTGACATATTTTGTACAGACACAGTGATAAGAAATGAGCTGGAACAATACAGTGGTATAAAAATGACAGACGTTGAGTGGAAATTTCTTGAAAACCAAAGAAGTGAAAGAAAAATGTACCATAAAGATTTCATGGACAAGAAAGAAATTAAGATGATGGGAAGAAGAAAACTACAGTGCCTGGAGCACTTGAGAAAAATTACAGAAAAAAAAGAAGCAAGTGAAGTCAAAGAAGAGACTTACAAAACTGATGAGAAGTCAGATGAAGGTATGAGTGTAAATGAATCATATGTTGTAGAAGAGGAGGAGGATGAAGGTGTTCCAGATTTTTCATCTAAGGGGAAAAGAAAGCGTCCATATTCTACGTGGACTGCCAGCTCTCCAACATCAGCTGGTGATAGTATGCCTCTTGAGTGTCAACATATACGTATGAGCATCAGGAAAGTTAGGCCTGGGTTCTATGAGACTGTTGATAAGTTTAAAAACTGCTAGTACATGTCAGTCTCAAGCTGAGGCTACTGTAGTAGAAGTTAGCAACAAAATATTTAGGACATCTTGAAATACCATGATCATTTGGAAGTCCCTGATGTAGATACTCTAACAACATTCAGAAACATCCACCTGGGAGTGAAGAGCATTGAAGTAATGAGATTGGCAGAAACTGTAAAAGATTATGAACTCGAAAGGAAAAAGCAGTTATTAACTAATGATATGAAGGCTTAGAGATAGATGATCTGGAGGTTATGTAGCAGTACAAGTCTCTATCTAAGGCCCTGACTGTACTAGACTTTTTTGGATGAATGTTCACTAAGGATACAGTTAAGAGTACCAAATACTTGACATCTAAGACAATATATAAAATCTTCATTTCCAGAAGTGAAAGGCTAAAGTTTTAGCACGATTCTTTGTTGTCCACAGAGATAATGTAATCGTGTTGCAAACAGAACAAGGAATGGAAGTCATTTCCATTCTCAGAAGTGATCTGATTCACAAACGAAAAACCTCCCAACTTTGATTTTTGCATGGCCATTTTTAAAAAACAGTGCAATAAACTATGTCTAGGGCCCTACCAAATTCACGGTCAATTTCACAGTAATAGGATTTTTTAAATAGCACATTTCATGATTTCAGCTATTTAAATCTGAAAATTCATGGTGATAGCAATGGTGGGCCAATAGTGTCAACAGGAGTCTAGTTGACTACTGGGAAATAATACAGTATTGTTGATAAAGCTAATTTAAAGTGCAGATGCTGAGCAGTCACAACTCCCATTAATTTCAGTGGGAATTGAGGATGTTTGGCACCTTTTAGAATCGGAACTAATAGTAAAACTGGCTAATTACCTTTGTCCTTCAACTGCTTTGAAATCCCACTCCCAGTGAGTACCTACTTAAATTAGTAGTTTTAATGTTGCATTTCAAATTCATATGGAATAAAGAACTGCTGGTATTGTGAAGGAGGCAATGGCCTTGCCTTTCAGGCTCAAGTATATGTAGCTACATTATCTCTGTCCCTCAAAGGATGTAACTGTCTGCCTCTCTGAATAATATACTTATTATCAGTCTCTTATCGGTTACTCAGTTAACTTTCACATAAATAACTGATGAGGTCCCTTGAGGATTTATTCCAAAATATTAACCAAACTCAGTGCAGTAAACATAGTTTTTACTTTTTTTGTCGTTAACGAAGTTTAAAAGGAAATTTAATTTAATGATTTGCATGTCACATTTCAACTTCTTGCCTTCAAGACCTGAGATATTAGACCTTAAACCAGTCACTGGGCACTCACAGCAGCAGCACTGCTTGAGCACTGGTCTTGGGCCGAATGTGGCCAGTCTTAGATCTTGGAACAGTATGATTTTTAATCCCTGCTGTAAAACCCACTTCACACTACAAATACAGCAAGTGATGTAAACTGAGACATATTAAACAGAAACCCAGCGTGGTTTGAATATGGTTTTTAACACTGTTGTATAGTGCTTTGATAATGTTCCTAGTTCATAGAGGTTAAGGCTAGAAGGGACCATCTAGTGGGAATCATCTAGTCCAGGGATTGGCAACCTTTGGCATGCGGCTCGCCAGGGTAAGCATCCTGGCGGGCCAGGCCGGGCCGGTTTGTTTACCTGCCGCGTCCGCAGGTTTGGCCAATTGAGGCTCCCACTGGCCGCAGTCCGCCATCCCAGGCAAATGGGGGCTGTGGGAAGCGGCGCGGGCCGAGGGAGTGGCAGGTAAACAAACGGCCTGGCTGCTAGGGTGCTTGGCCTGGCGAGCCGCGTGCCAAAGGTTGCCGATCCCTGATCTAGTCTAACCCCTTGTAAATCACAGGCCATTAAATTTCACTCTGTTACAGAGCCCAATAACTTGACTAAAGTTTATCTTCCAGAAAGGCATCCAGTCTTAATTTGGAGACCTCAAGAGAGAGTCCTCCAGTTTCTTTGGTAGTATGCAGCTTAATTTGTTAATCTCCCCAGATTTAAAATGTAGTGGTCTGGGAGGGGTCAGCCCCAAGATCAGCTACTGTAAAGAACTTGTCATCACAATGAGGATCCCAAAATACACAGCAGGGACATCACACTACTCTTTGATTACATAATAATTGTATTACCTAGCCAGGCAAAAATCATAGAATCATAGAATATCAGGGTTGGGAGGGACCTCAGGAGGTCATCTACTCCAACTCCCTGCTTAAAGCAGGACCAATCCCCAACTAAATCATCCCAGCCAGGGCTTTGTCAAGCCTGACCTTAAAAACCTCTAAGGAAGGATATTCCACCACCTTGTTAGGTAACCCATTCCAATGCTTCACCACCCTCCTAGTGAAATAGTTTTTCTTAATATCCAACCTAAACCTCCTCCATTGCAACTTGAGACCATTATTCCTTGTTCTGTTATCTGGTACCACTGAGAACAGTCTAGATCCATCCTCTTTGGAACCCCCTTTCAGGTAGTCGAAAGCATCTATCAAATCCCCCCTCACTCTTCTCTTCTGCAGACTAAACAATCCCAGTTCCCTCAGCCTCTCCTCATAAGTCATGTGCTCCAGCCCCCTAAAATACACTCTCTGCAATAGAGCAAAAAATAGAAAGATACTGTCAGATATCCAGCGCTTGCATTACTTACACCAGGGATCGGCAACCTTTGGCACGCAGCTCACCAGGGTAAGCACCCTGGCGGGGCGGGCTGGTTTGTTTATCTGCTGTGACCGCAGGTTCGGCTGATCATGGCTCCCACTGGTGGGAAGCGGCAGCCAGCACATCCCTCAGCCCATGCCGCTTCCTGCAGCCCCCATTGTCCTGGGATGGTGAACCGTGGCCAGTGGGAGCCGCGATCAGTCGAACCTGCAGATGCGGCAGGTAAACAAACCGACCCGGCCCGCCAGGGT